TCAACGTCCTTCTTGAAGCTTACCTTCCCTGCAGGAGCCGATTGCTTCAGGACTATCGCGGGCATTGCGATGGCCCTCCTCGCAATGGCAGGCGCTGCGGCTTTGGCGGCAGCCTTCGACTTGGCTTGCGCCTTGTCATTTGACGTTGCTGGAGCTGAATTGTTCTTGATGAGCTCATGCCTATACTTGCAAGCGCTTCCCTATCGCACTTCCCCTTCTGAAACGCGAAGCATGCTCCATCATCTCTCTTTGGTGACGATGATCTGGACTTGGATTTGCCCTTTCCTTTCCCCTTGGACATACTCTCCAACTTGTGCTCCGTCTTCTTGCTGTGGGAAAAAGTGCATTCATTCCCTTTCACGCACCCCTTCGCCGATTTGAAGTGGTACCAGCAGGGGTTATCCTTGCTTCCGCCCGGACTCTTGCCTCTGTCGCTGGCACCGTCGGACTTGCCGTTCTTGCCAGCGTGGCCCTTTGCCTTGGCTTTTGGGAGCACAGGAGCGGCATCAGGTCCACCGGGTTTCCCCTTTCTGCCCTTGCCACCCTGGTTCTCCTGTTTGCCAGTTGCTGGAGCCGCATCCTTCCCGCCTGACTTCATCATCGACTTGACCGATTTCTCCTTCATGTCGAGCATCAGGTCTTCCCGATCTGCCTTGATCTGATAGTCGATCAACGCCAATAAGAATTCATACGTCTTCTGAGGATGCTTGTCCGGTAGTCTATGGTAGGCATTGAGGCCGAACTCCATCTTCTTGCTCCCTTTGATCTTCCTGTAAAGGATGTCTCTGAGAGCCAGCTTACTGGGTCTGTCCTCGCTCCTCATCTTCAGCAGCAAATCATACCATTTGTTCCTGAACATGACCAAGTTCTTGTCGCCAGGAAAGTCAAGGTTGAATAGATGCTCGATGTGGTAGACAAGATCCGTTCTATCGGAAGTTCTGAATGATTGCATAACTAATGCCACCAACTCTCGTCCCTTCACGATTACCCCTTGTTGATGTCGTAGTTCAGAGTGTCGTGTAGCATCGAGGTATACGTCCTTGGCTTCGTCAGGTGCTTGTTTCAGCATGTTCTGCATGCCCATGGCCATCTTAATATCTATCGTAGCAAATCTGTCGCCACCTGAATCGCTAAGCAAATCCAGGTCTGGGTTCAACCCAAGAGCCTGCTCCAGCCATTTCGTCCATGCGTCGGTATCTGGATCTGCACATGCGCTCAGAACATTCATCAGCAGTTGCATCTTCCAGGTGTCAAGTTGATGGATCTTTGGCCAGGCCGGAATAGATACTCTCTCGGCCTCTTTCCTCGAGATTCTCGGTCGATCATTCTTGATCTCTCGGTTATCTCTCGATCTCCTTCGTCTCCTCCGTGTCCGATCGTCTTCTTCCTCTTCTTCTTCCTCGTCTTCCTCATCTCCTTCGTCGTCGTCATCCTCATCCTCATCATCGGGTGGATCATCCGGAGGTCCTCCTCCGCCACCAGCGAGGCTCAACTGACGTCGACCCGCTCCCTGCCCATTCCCATTGGGCGGGAATCCACCGTAATCCAATGGGGGCGTAGTACCGTTGTTTCCCCCCCCATCACCACCACCAGTCGTAGTAGTGGATTGTGGGACATGCCCAACAACCCCTTGCATCTGGGATAGGTGTACATCGATCATTGGATCACCGAAAGACGGAAAGAGGATCGAACCTGGCATCAGCGACGAATTAGGGATTTGATTTGAAGACGATGACGGGACTGACCCAGCCACCTTCTTGTCTATCCTATTTGAATTAGCCTGGGTTCCTCCCTCAGCGCGTTTCACTACTGCTCGTTCACGATGTCCATCTTTGCTGCTGGAGGCTTCCTGTGTCTCCAGCTTCTTGTGTGCACGTAGTTCCTCGTTGTCAGCATCGAGTTGGCGTACAAAACTCTCTTCTTGCTTGAGCGTCGCCTCTCTTTCTTTCAGTTGTCTCTGAAGCTCATGCATCTCCTCGAGGTACTCATCGTACATTCCCTTAGCTGTCAATCTCCAGTACTCAGCCTCCTTCGACTTCTCGTCCATCGTGCACCGTTCCTCTTGTTTCTCTTCTTTGACCTGGGCTAACTCCAAGATCGCATCCTGACGATGACCACCTTCGACAGCAATCATCTGGTCCTTCATCGACACGTCGGACTCATACTGTTTGACGATCTCTTCTTTTTCGCGAAGCAAGCAATCTGCTCTCTTCGATTCCTGTTCCGCAAATACTGTAACGTCATTCAGCCTCGCCATCAGCTGTTCCCTGGAGTCCTCCAAAGAGTACGTCTCGGGGCGCTTGACGAGTGCATGCTCCAACTGTGATTTCAGACTTTGGACCATCTCCTCCTCGTTGAACTTCTCGATAGATGTAGAAGATTCTATGCCTCTGATCTGTTGCTGATAAACTGATATCTGTTGTGAAGCCTCACGGTGTATCTGATTTGCACGTATAGCTGATTCCTGCGCGGCCGACTTCTCGCTTGCCATGTAGGATTTCATCAATGCAATCTCCCGCTTCTGCTCCATGATAGTTCCTTCAGCTTGCCTCATCTGTTGCATTATAATATTCGACTCCATGTCTTTCTTCTCCCCGTACTGAAATGCGTTCATTTCCACCTTGCGCATCTGTTGGGCTTCTTCCTCAAACTTGCGCCATGCCTCAGCCATGTGGTGTTGGTGGTGACTCACTAGATGTCCCGACTGCTTGCTGGCAATCTCGCATCGTCTTTCCAGCTCCTGGATCCGGATGGTGCTTCCATAGTCTTCTTGGTTAAGATTCGCCATTGCTGCCGACATCTCATCAAGTGTCTTCTGATATTCCCCGATCTCCACCTCCATCTTATTCTTCTCTTTGATCACGGCGCGAAAATCTGCACTGGTGGGTGATTTTGACCTCCCACCCTTCGATGTCGATCTCACGCCCTTCTGCGACGTCCGTGGTGTCGCAGGCGAAGATGATGATCTTCTCGGTGGGGATTCTCTTTTCTTCGACTCCTGATGAACATCGATCTGCTTCCATGATCTTGTGGGAGTAGATATGTCGCTGAATAGCGCGGAACCTCCGCTCCCAGGTTCATCCTGTGAATCTGCAACCATATCCATCACCGCAGGAAGAGCCATCAATCCATTGGATCCCTCTGAGCTGCTGTTCCCAAAAGTTGCAGTACTTGGGCTCGCCGAAGACGCCATTGTACTGTGTAGGTTATCGTTCCTTTATTGTCCCTGTACCCGCAATAAACCAGCTGTCTCCCAGTCCAGTGTAGAGCTTGTAGTTACGGCTGATAACCTGTCAAGAGACGGCAAGGTGACGTCCCGTGGGACGCTATGCACCGAACCCTCAAGCTGTAATACCAACCACGTAGAAAGGTGTATACGGACGATGCCGTTATAGCCGAACCCGTGTAAACGTTGTAAGGGAGAAGGAATGATAGTTACAACAGTGGTCCTGACAAATGCAGCGCAAGCGAAGTGTTTTCGCTCTCAATGCCGATCACGTATGTATGCAGTCACACATCAGATCTTGAACCTCAATTGTGTCTTGAGCCAAAATGGCGATCAATGGAACTTGGGAAGCAACACCAACAAGGACCTCAGAACAGCTACCCAATTTCGGCACGGGGCCTAGAGGGTTTTAACAACTACACACGACCCATTCACTGCATCCCTGGAGATCTTCGGATGCCACACTACAATTCCACACTGCTCAGCATTTCACTACCTGAAGCAGCCAACGTCCACTACTACCACACGACTTCACTCCACACTACAACTGGCGACAACAACAACTACGTCATCATCCAACTCCAGATTGAACAACCACTACTCCTGAGGTACCTCACTTCAGGACAATTTCTACACTTCACAAGGGACTACATCTCCTACATGATGTCGGTACAACACAACTACTACCTCCCGACTACAACACTGCCACAGACCATCTTCAAGGTGAACTACAACATGACCACCTTCACTGACAACTACAGCCTCAGGAACAACTACGTTTGGAATTTCCACATGCCACTACTACTACCTGAACTACTCCACTACCTCTACAACAGAAACCAACTCCGCGACTACCAACACAAAGCAATCACTACAATCCTCTGCAAAAGCATCCAATACTACGGCTTCACACTACTCACAATGACCAACCTCACACAACACCACAAAGCACTACTACACCGCTTTCTACGGCACTACGACCAACACATGTCGTGTCCCGAGATTGATGATGAGCGACTACGGGGAGCTCCAAACTGCATGACAACCTTTTTCACCACCAACTACTACGCGACCTTGGACAGTCGACTACAGATGGTCCAAGCCTACCGCACCCAGAAATGGGGGCTGCATTTTTGAGCTCCTGCTCTACTACAACGAGTGCCTGCCTTCACTGCTTCCGTCCAGCGCCCTACATCGAGCTGGAACCTGAACAGCGTGAACTACTGAGCGCAGGTCACTACTTTTGCCAATACAGTAGAATTGATGAACAACTGGTTTTCATCACTACTGTCAATCCATGTTTTGCACTTCAGTTGAAAAGGTACTACAAAGACCTTTTAACTGAGGGGCCGTGTCAAACTACATGCTTCACTTTGCACTCTTGTTGCATGTATGTTCACTACCGCAGGCCTTGAGCTTACTACTCCGCATGAGTCAAAAGATTGGCAGCTGCAGACTACATTGGTTGACTGTTTGTTTGAACACTACAGCACTTGCACTTGTAAGCAAAGTAACCACCGATTTTAACGAAAAAGAGAGAGAGAGAGAGAGAGAGAGAGAGAGAGAGAGAGAGAGAGAGAGAGAGAGAGAGAGAGAGAGCGAGAGAGAGAGAGAGAGAGAGAGAGAGAGAGAGAGAGAGGGGGGGAGAGAGGAGGGAAGGGAGGGAGGGAGGGAGGGAGCGAGGGAGGGAGGGAGGGAGGGAGGCAGGGACACTGGCCATTGACCTCTTTTATCTGCCTCTCTGGGACCCGTGACCCTGGATCTGGGCTCGGTCCTTGGCGGGTCACTGCGTACACGCTGGCGGAACAGAGAGTTCAGCAGCGGATAACCTCGGTTCCAAGAGCAACGGCTGAAGTGCTAGTAGGAAAAACAGGCCTTCAGGGGCCAAATGAGAACAATCGATGAAAAACCCTTGAAGCCAAAGCCAAGTTCTACACTTGCAAGGGTTAAAGACCTGCAGCCCCCATCCTGTTTGGTGGTTAGTTGAAGCATTGCCCTCATGCCCATGCCCTCTGGCCAAGGCGCCAAATCTTTCCAGCGTGCTCGCCTGCTGTGCGAGTCAGCTAGAATGCATCCACCATGCCCACGGGTGCTGTACTGTATACCTGGCCTGTCGCAAGGCTGTTTCGCCCACATCACCTCAGAAAGCACTGGAACTGCCGTCCCTGGTAGCCCCAACTCACTGCGGCGGCGTTTGACCCTGGCAAGCGCCGCAACAAAAAGCCGGCGGAGCTTCACCTGGCAAGCTTAGCCCAGCACGCAAAGCCTGCCTGAGCTTCGTAAAAATATTCAAGCTCTGGGACAAGAATTCGAGAGGCCGGCTGGACTTGCTCCAACTGAACATTGAAATCAACAGGCCAGGAAAAACAGTCACTTGGACGATTGAATGCTGCTTCGCTGCTCTTCATTCTCTGCCTCCTCGACTGTTGCGTCGTACATGTCAGCCGCGCCTGCAGTGGTACCAGTGAAACAAGCAATTGTGCTTGCTCGCAGAGTCGTGTCGACAATCCATCTGTGCATGGGCAAACTCCTGACGTGGCTGCTTTGAATTGTCCCGTACCAGTGCTGTGCAGGGCACAGTCTGCAGCGGCCCAAACATCCTCGGGATCACTGAGGTCACTCAGAGACCCCAAGACCAAGACCTCGGCCGCAAGACTTCGCAGCACCACGTCATCGACGCGACTCCTTCGAGGGCCGGGCCGTGTTGGCATCTCCCTCCCAAAGCCTCGGCCAATGCCAACCTTTGACACCTGCCCATCTGCATCCGGTACCTGCTCTGTCCAGCTCCCATGGGGTGCTTCTGACTGGCCCGTTGTCTTACCATTCCCAAAGTCGCCCCCGTCCAAAGTGGGCAGCCTCTTGATTTTGAAAGAAGGGGCCTAGCCCGTCTTGGAAAAGCACCACGGCCGAGCAGCAGTGTGTCGCGCAGGAGCTGCGACACGCGTCCCTCGCCTTCCGCACAGGCCTCGATCAAGCTGAAACATGGCCCTATGCGCTGGCCCCTATCGGGAAATTGCGGAATCTATGACCCCCTAAAAGGGCTCATGCTGGTCTTCTGATCCCACCCCTCGTGACATGGCGAAGTGTCGCAACAAGATACAAGCCCTGCACCGTTGAGCCAGTAAGCCGCAGCCCATCGAGGATGAAGGACCTCCTGAGGAAAGGTTCGCAAAGCACCGTTGTTGGGACGGAGAGCTAAATGCATCCATGACTCCCAACCACAAAGCCCTCCCCTTCCTGAGCCATGGATGAAAATAGATCACTGAGGATTGACTCCATCGCTTCAGCGAATCAATTTCAAGAGCAAAGTCAAAGTCAAAGCAGCTGAAGTTGCTGTTGGGATGTTTGGCTCTCTGACCATGGGTCCAGGTGGCAAAAGCCTTCGGGTCCAGTTTATCCAGTTGATCCAGTTGAGCCAGCAGCCTGTCGCTCCCTAGGGTCGGCACCTTCTCCCAGCCAGGACTGCAAAGGTATGTGAGGTCTGGCCATCTGGACAGCCTCAGGCTTCCAGGGAAAGCAACCCCGAGTAAAAAAACAAAAACGAAACGCCAAGAAGGCCACGTGAAACACCTATCTTGAGCAGAGTTGCATCTTCATCAGTTGCGTGTGTCCTTGTTGATGAAGCTCTTTGAGGTTCTTTTCAAGGGAACCCGAAGGTAAGCCTACTTTTTGGGAGCGCGTGTCCGATTTCGAGGCAAACCCGATGTGATCCAAGTCGCCTCTTGATGCTGGCCAGCACCTCTTGCCATGCCGCAGACACCTGCAAGGGCGAACAGCCAGTCCCTCCAGTTTGTTTGAGTGAGAGGGAAACCAAAGGAACCCGAAAAACGGACATGTTGGAACTCCTTTACCTTACAGAGCAAGCTCTTTCGGGTTCCACCGTTCCACCTCCCACAGAGGCAAGCACCTGAGGCCCAGCCGGTGCTGGCCTGGCAAAAGAGCACCATCTTTTCGAGAGGAGAATGGACATGTCGTTCGCTTCGAGATGCTTCGGATTCCTCGAGCCTTTCGTGGTGTGCCCGACTATCCCCGCACCCCGGAACTTCAATTGGACTCCTCCCAAACAAGGCCCTCTCGCAAGAAACAATTGCAAGAACGTGAGAAGAAAAAAGAGAAAGAAAAACAAACACGCCGGCTTCGGCGGCAGGCCGCCCAGTGAGAGCACCACACGCCGGCGGAAGGTCCACAGCCCGGGGTTCGCCTGCCTCGCGACTCGCGCTCCGACTCTCGGGCTCGGATCGGATCGCTAAGGGCAAAGCAAAAGGCCCTGGTTGCAGTCGTCACCTGAGAAAAGACCAAATCCAAAAAGCCTCCAAGGCACTTTTGCAGATCAAGCGACTGACTGTGCGCGGCCGGTTCTCCGGCCAATAGGTCAGGGACCTGTGGCAGAACAGGTCCCTTCCGCCCGAATGGTGAAGGCTGAGACGCGCACTCGGGCCCCAGATGCATGTCCCTGAGCTCCTCAATCAACGTCCATTCGAGAAGCATTACCCTGAGACCAGCCAGATTTGAAACCTGGTATTGCAGGGCATACCCAAAACCACATAAAGAATCAACTTGCCCGGGTCGTGATTGTGGCTCCTTTGACGAGCAACACTGGCAATCATCATTCAATATGCAAAGGCTGCAAAGGCAAACCAATCAGCTGACTGGCAATGTCCATGTCTCACACGTCCAACAGTCCTGCACGCCCAGCGCCGACCCGAGCATCAATCGCCGAATTCCCTTGGCCGCCAGGTGGGCTGAGAACCACATGTCGTCCTGCCAGGCACGCGATCGCAACATGAGTGAGTTGGCAAAACCCAAGGGCCCTTCCAAATTCTAAGGTAGAGCCCATACTAAGTGGTCAATAAAGTGCTTTGAGTGCGGCTTCTGAATGCTTTCACATGAAACCAGTCAGTCCCTAAAAGGCTCCTGGTAGCGGCACTGCTGGCAGGACTCGCTGTATTCGAAGACCGTGTCATCAAAAAACCCGCGCTGGTACACCACGCCTCCAAACTGCAACTGACAGCTGGATGGGCCTCGCTTCTAGGCAGTTCCAACAGGAATTTCAGAAGAGCCAAACGAGCAACGATCCAAATATGGTCAACCGGTCACAGTCAAGGTCCCCTGGGTTTTGTGGTTGACATTTAGAGAGTCATTCCAAATCGCTCCCAAATTGAACACAGACCAACCTGGGATTCAGATGTTTGATTCAAAATCGTGGACTCCCTGATGGTTTTTGAAGGGAAGCCAAAAAGAGAAAGCAGAGGCGAAGGCGAGGCCTAGGTAGCTCACCAGCACCGGCCCAGCAGAGAAGCCCTGGTCCTGCAGATACCGCGGCGGCGGGAAGCCTGGCGGCCGGTTTTCTTTGGTAATAATCGGGCCGGTTCTGTGTTTGTTTGGTCAAAAAAAAAAGTGGCAACTGTCCGATGTGTGGTTTTTCCCAGAAACTGAAAGCTACGGAGTTGCTGTTCGGGATATCACCCGGGTTTATTTGCTGTAAGAGTCCCAATGCAAGCTTCGCAAGAGGAGGGAGCTCGCCCCACCAAGAACGCTGTGGCGTGCTTGGGATTCAAAACAAGAGACCTTCAGTGAGTATCCATTCCAGGATCTCCCACATTCCCACCAGAAAGTGAAGAAGTGCCTATCACAGACTTCAACTTAGAAGGGAAAGCCACCAGCTACACTCAGCCTACTGCATCGGCGCAAACACACTGCCCGCAATCAAGAACATGTCAGAAACGCTTGACTCGGATCAAATGCATCTCGACCGCAGTGACCTGCCTGTGATTTCAAGGGCTGTTGCACACCAGGAAAACAGAAAAGACGTGTTTTATACTTTGGCGCATTCAGAAGGAGAACCGCAAATGTTTGGCTTCCACGCGATTTCCCCTTTGAACCAACCAAAGCGGGGTTCCCCCAAAAAAAGATGACACTTCAGTATCTATTCAAAGTGCAACCCGAAACCTCCAAACAGCAACTCTGCGCCTGGCGTCAAGTTCAGACCCCGTCCCAGAAGCACTACCAGTGTGCCATCCTACCACCATTTCAGTGGATCCCAAATACCACTGGGCAAGAGTAGGCTATTCAGTAATTGAAATGTGGCTTCCACACCTTTCGAGTGGTACCCTCCTACCAAGAAGCTTGCAGGTGGACAAACCTCTCTTTTTTAATGTCTTGAAAGGGAGGCCAACCTACTAGAATGGCCTCCTAAATTGTCAGGTCTGCCCATTTGGGCAGAAGGGGCTAGTTTACCACCCCAGTCGCACCCCGCCCAAGTGAGTCACCGATTTCAGCTTTTACCACTGCAAGCTCCAATTTCAAAATGGGGGCCTCAACTTTCCAACTTTGGTGAAATGGGTTTGGGTTTCCCTATGAAATCAAACAGGGCACCCTCAAAAAAGGAAAACATATATATTTATATATATATATATACGTATTGATTGATTCATGTATTTATGTTTCCGTGAAGGGGACTTTTATTCTGATGGGGGGACCGGTGAGTTGGGCAGCCGGCAGCCTCGTTCTTCCAGCAGCCGGAGCTCCGGGGAGTCCAGCAGCTCAGGCACCGACAAGAAGCCCTGCGCCGCCACCGCGGAGCCCGGGTTCCCCACCGCCGCGCGCATCAGCTGCTCCGTGAGCTCGGGGCCTGGGAAACCAAATCAATTCTGCTGGGATCCGAGGCGCGGATGTGAAAAGATGAAGGGACGCCTGAATTTTGAATGAATGAAGACATGTGCGAAAGCGGTCACTCACCCCTTTTTGGTTCATGTTGGTCCACTCGAACCTTTCGACCAAAGTGGAAAGAAAGACGGTCTTCGAAGGTCAGCTCGCCATCCCCATGAAACCGTCGAGTCTTCGCCGAGTGGCCGTAGATGTGGTCATCATCCACCACCACGAGGAAGGTCCAGGGATCCCTTTCCAGGCGCAGGCCATTCAGCAAGTGCGTGCCGGGGCCCAGGTCCTGTCTTGGCTGATTCAGATGGCAGCGACTTTCCCCCCCCAAGCAAACGAAAGGCTCCGTGGGTCGCGACCGGCTAAGGCTCAAAGCCGCTCTTTCTGGGCAATCAAACAAAATACGCAAGCCATCAAAGAGTCAGAAAGGTCGATTCTGTCTGGATAGCCTCCCCCAAGCTACCAAACCTTCACCCACGTTTGAATGTTGGCAAGCCTCTGTACCCCTCCTCGCAGCGCACCAGGCGAATAGGCTTCTCTCGCATCCAAGTGGGAATCTCATAGGTCTCCCCCGTGCGGTTGTACATGTGGGGCACGCTCAAGATGATCTCCTGGAATGTCGAATCTGAGCTGCTGAAAGAGCAGCTGTCATATAGAGTTCCCTAAAAAGCATCCCCAAACAAGGTCGGATTGTCTTGGCAATCAATTACTATGGCAAAAACTGGTGAAGCACAACGGTCGATCGAAACTGAAGTGGCCCTCGCATAACCAGAACCAGTTCACAGGGAATCCTTCACTTTGCAGGGGAACACCCGCTAACCCCCTTTGGCAACGTTACATCCGCCGCATTTAAAACTCCCTTCCCCCTTTCGAGAGACCTTTATCCTCCCAGTTTCACCCACACACTAAGCATGTGTTTCTTTTCAACAACATCTCAGTGGAAGTACTGACGAGCCGCAGCTGCCGGCCAGGTCTGCTTCAGCATGGAGTCGATGACCGGCTCCATGCGGTGGATGCGGCTGGGGATGGTGGTCATCACTACCACCACTCCTCAAATCCGCTCCAAATGGACTCCGATGCTGGGTTTTCCCTGATGGGTTCGACCGCACTTGATGTGCCGCATACCCCGTTGGCGGATCCTCTCTTCGCGCTAGCCGGGTGAGTTGTGCACCCATTCCACAGTCTGAACCTGCGAGACGAGAAGACATTATCGTTTTCGGTACCTTTTCTGAGGCCTAGGGAATTTAAAAGGGAGACCGAGCCATTTTGGGGGATGGTTCCCTTGGGATCCAACGCCCGTGCATAAGGCCTGGACCTTAGAGAAGCTTTGCATGGCTTTGGTCTCCTCTTTTTCGGGGTACCCAAACGGTTTTCAGCGGGGTGAAGTGAAATCTATATTTTGTCCAAGACTCTGTACTGCGCCATCAGTTGGTCCAAGGACCCTGAATGCAGGGTCCGCGGCCTCAGGTGAGGTATCCACTGGTGCAGGTCTGGCTTCGTGATCGACACCTCACTCGCTGGCGAAGCTGCACCCAGGATCAAATCACATCCAGTGTCTTTTTTTGGTTTCCCTTTTAACATCCAAAATAGGCTCTCCTTGAGACAAACCCAGATCTCTGTGCGGTGATCAGAAACCCATGGCCAACTAAGCCAGCCGCCATGGCAAGGCCCGGCAGGATTTGAAGCAGAAAGGCAGCCACCAGCGCCATCCATCACTGGCCGAACACGCACTAGGTATCGCTCATGTTATTTCCGCTACTCCGGGCAACTCATCTCATTGTCTTTTGCCCTTGCCGTCACGCTAGAGCTGCTCTAAAAAAAACAAGGTCAGGATCTGTTCCATTCGGGCTGTTGCTTTCGTCAGTCTGTGCATCTCCCTTGAGAGCCGCAGGATCTCGGCGCCTTGATCGGCCGGGCTCTCCACATGTTCGAGTCATTCGACCCCCGAGCCGACGACGCGCCCGTTTTAATAGGTCCTCGGCCAGTGCACGAGTGATAAGTGTCGATGGGGTGTTCAAGATTACACCCGGCTCATACCGTAACATACCGTAGCTCAGACTACGGCCCCAAAAGGTGCCAAGGGACGATTGCGGGCCGTCGGCCCAGTTCGTGCCACGCCTCTCTGGGCACAGCTGGCAATCCTTCGCTCGCACAACTGCGCTGGGCATATAACACTCCATCAGGAGCAGGTTGAGGCAGGGTCAAAATCTCAGGGGCGTGATGGATCTTGTGTGTCATCTTTGGATGTCTCCGGACACCCGGACAATAGTGAACAACTTGCAATTTTCACCCGACCAGCTAGAGATGCAAGGGAAGGAAAACTCCACCGGTCGGTGAAGGATTTCGGATTTCCCGACGGTATCACGGGCGTGAGGCCAGTCTGTCTGGCTCACATCCGTCCAATTCGCCGCCTTGGCACATCCACAGATCGAAGGGGCCTCACTCTGACGGCAAGCCGTCTGCCCCCGAAAGGCGCTTTCGGCGGGTTTGCCTTCTGGAGCTCTCTGTACAGGGAGATCCTCCCAGACTCCATGGCCACTTGAATTCGCCTCGAGCCTGGTCCTGTGTCCCCTAACACAGAAGGCCAAGGCGGCCTACCCATGCAGTGGCTGCCACAAAGCAAAGCAAAACGTTGAATTGACAAGTTCACGGTGATTGGCAGCTTGAATTACCCGGCGCCGCAAAAACACACCCCCTGGCGGTGTGCATATACAAGCCGGGAAAACCCTGCCTTGGCCACAGGCCAAGACCCAAAAACTTCAAACTCTATTTGCACGCTGCCGGCACGCATTCCTCGAGTGAAGCTGTCAAAGTGGCCGAAGCCTCGCCGGAACTGGGGCGCCGTGCCACGCTCCGAGGTCGAATCATCTTCTCCGCCGTGGCCGGGCCTAGCGTCCATTCGCGAATCGATGGAGTCACAGCTGGCGAAGGCGCGGACTGTTCTCGCGGTTCTCGCGGTCGCGAGAGCCGTGCACCTCGCGCGAAAAGGACATGTTTAGTATTATCCTTTCCTATCTTCTTGGAAATATTTTAATTGGAGAAGTGACGAGATAATGAAAGGATACAGATAGGAAAGAAGATTATGACCAAGAAGAAAGGAATGGCATGGTATCTTCATTCTAATTATAACACATACAAAATAGAAAAAGAAGAACAAAGGAAAATATAAAAAGAAAAGCATTAAATCCCAAACAAAAGAAAACGATAAACAAAATAACCAAACAATGCAAAGAAGATTCAGAAAATAGACCTTCGTGCCTCAGATCAATCTATTATTCTCATGTTGAATTTATTTTGTATTACTAATGAAATCTCATTTACGATGCGTGTGTGTGTGTGTGTGTGGGTTTGCCCTTTTGTTGGGGAACCCTTTAAGAGGCAAACAGTGGGAAAGCAAAAGGAAACCGACCTTCCGGGGGTCCCCGACATTTGAGACATGCCCGCATGCCTTGTCCCGCCGCTCAGGGGTCAGCTGCACGTGATGGGCCTGGCGTTCGATCTGTGCGTCAAAGCGTCGAGTGGCGTTCAGGCCTGCATGGCATCGAACCTCTGAAGAAACCTGAAAGATGTCAAAAGCAAAGAACCCCGATCGAGCCGGAATGCTGGGAATGCTAGCCTGTGCTGGCTTGGGACCTCATCGGCCTGCGCAACAGAGCTGAATTTCCCTCTACGCGAAAGTTTTGCGAGACTCGAGGCGCTGAAATCCGGCGGCTAAGTCAGAGAGCGGGCCAAGTCCAACCAGGTTTCGCAGATCCCTGGAAAAAAGAGACGCAATCCGCTCGCCGCGTGGCTGAAAATCGGAGCAGGAGCTCTGGATGGTTTTACAACAAAACCTAAGGAACAGTACCTCACAATGTTGTTTCTGGCCTTTGAATCGCTACAGCACCTGAATGCAATGCCTGAATGCAATGATTGCGGTGACTTTGAGGGTTGTTGGTTTTGTTCACTTTTGTGATACGACTGGAAGGCCTGATGTGTGCTTTGCGTTTGTGCGATGCGCCGCGATGCTGAATTGATACCCGCCAGCAATGATGTCCAGAAATGTGGAGTGTCACTGCAGAAAAGAAAGATGACCCATCAAATCAGTGGACCTTGCAAAGCGTGCAAACCACAGGTGTCTGTGTGTGTGTGTGCAGGTTATGCCCAAAGTGCATGTGCAAGACTACAACTCATGGGATCACAACCGCCGTTGGCACGATGATCAACGCAGGTGTCGCGAGCCGGCGCAAGCCTTCGCCTTTGGCCTCACCTCAATGAGGCATCTGATACAGTGGAAATGACCTTCGAGTGGCCTTTGCGGGTTAAGACATGCTGCGGGCTTCTATATTGACCATGCGTTCTTGCAAAGATCCAGGAGAAGTCGTCCTACTCTGTTTCAACATGCTAAGGCCCACTGAGGCAAGCACCGTCACTTGGGACTCAGACACCGTTCGGTCGATGCCAATGTCAAAATCATCCTGGAAGGCAGGGACATGCAAGCAGCTGTTGAGAAAGTGACAAAATATTCGAGTCCTCTTCTTCATCAGACTCGATTTCCGGTGCCGTTGGTAGAGTGCAAGCACGGCGCAGCATCGGCTGCTTCCTTCAACAGATTGAAAGCAAAGCCCTGCTTGTAAACGGCAAACTGCTGGGCACGCACTCCGCAGTAAAGATCATTGGCAAGTAGTTTTTTTGCTTTTCAGCTAGCTGCTTGCGCAAAAGATGCTACAGGGCTCTTCAAAGCCCTCATCAATCTCAAAGCTGGCTTGTTCTCAGAACGAGGCCAGATTGAGTTGTTCTCATCAAGAGTTGATAGAATCTGGCAATTCAACGCATCGCTTTGGCAAGTTCCACACATCGCCACAATACACGGCCGTTACAAACTTGGAGCTGAACCAGGCAGCATAGCACTATGACCATCTCAGTCACACAAAAAGCTTGCCTTGCATAGTCATAGATGGGCTTCAAAGAGAGGCGCGTCCCACAGACTTTGCACATCTATGGCCACTCTCTTGATCAAGCCGAGCAAACCAAGAAGCGGCCAATACCAGGGCAAAAATGACCTGATATTCCACCTTGTCAAGCTTGAAGTGCCAAAACAAAGAGAGCTGTCTGCAACTCCACCTTTGCGCACTTGTGTAGCAAAATCTGCGGTCCACTTTCTCCTGCTCAGTGTGGCGCCGGGCGTCTTCTGCTTCTCCGGCTCCCGCAGGTCTTGCCCGTTTTGAGCATTTCACGCGGCGCATACTCCAAGTGCTTCAGCCAGAGTTGCAAGGCCAAACATCACGATCCAGCTGTCCATCTTGTACCTGTGCTTGGGTCACCCAACGTCCAAGGATCCTTGTCATGTATCCTTACCATGCTGTTCAGCGAGCTTCTTCAGGGCGTCGTGCCAGATCTTGGCAGTGCCTCGAAAATTGTCAAAGTCATTGTCTTTTTTGTGCGAGTGCTCAAAGGACGAGAGCCAGAATCCTCAGCATCGTGCCACGGTAATCCATCGAGCCGCTCGGTGCACTCACAACAGGCGCCCGGCAACACAGCGAAGCGGCCCAGGGCAATGAAAATGGGCAAACTCTGGTATGCAAAGAAGGGAAGCAAAATGGCATACGCCGAATAAACCACCGCGGCACGCCAAAGCCACAGCACGGATGGACCAGCGATGTCAAACATGGTGAGTTTGGCCTCTCCGACCTTGTCTTTCTCGGTCTCCATCTTGCGTCTCACTTTTTGGCGGATACCCAGCCTAGACTCAAATCGCCAGTTGGAAGCCAAGCAGGCTGGTTTTGCTTGTAGGACTCGGACAAATCAGTGCCGCGCTCCTTGGCCAAGTTCTCTGTATGAGCCTTCAGCGCTTTGGCTGAGTTCTGCGAATACCTTGAGCCAAATCAGCTCAGTGGTGCACAAACGTTGTGGTCACTGCATGGCTGATTGCTTGCAGCGAATGCAACGCTTCACATGGACCCAAATGCAGAGTTTGAGTCAAAGGTCAACAAGTTGCTCATGCGCAAAATGCCCAGGTCCCGAAGCTATCTGGGAAGGCAGAGCTCAAAGTCCGCCTTGGCGTGCTGTTTCCCATGCTCCACAGGTGCCACAAAGAAATTCGGAGGTTCCTGCAATCGAACTTAGAACAAAACCATTGATTCCCTAGCAGTTTGGGAATTGAGCGAGTCTCTCCGCAATCGACCATCCCGACTCAAGGCTTGCGCTCTGAGTCTCCCTGCGACGAGTTGCTCGCCCAGGTGTTGCCGTTGGTCCTCAGGGCGCGCACGGCACGCCGGCAGCGCACGGCAAAAGCCGGGCGCCGCGCGGGCTCATGGCGAAGCTCCAGCTGCCCCAACCGCACCTCGCCACGGTTGCGCGAGCATGGAAAGGCGAAAGAGCCAAGCGAAGAAGCAAGTTATTTATGCATGTGAAGTGCCTAGGTAGCTCATGTCGTCTATGTTGAAAGACTCTCAGAGAGGAACAAGAAGCTCGCTCGCTCGCTGGGTGCGCTGCGGGCTCGGCGCCGAAGGCCACAGCACGGCCGGCGTCGGGGGTCCGGACCTGGCTGGCATGGCCTCTGAAGAAAATGCCCTTCTAAGATTCTACGGGTCGGGTTTGTGAACATGCAGAAACCCCGCCTTGTTCACTGTTCAAAGGGCAACAAAAACGAAACGAAAACCATCGTTCGGGGCTCCCCGACGGGAATCGCTCATCTCAACACTCACATTGCATCGTCACGTCCGGACTAGTCATTTGCTCAACCGGATCGACAAATCGGGCCTTGGAGTGGAGTCCGCGCTGTGCGACACGCAGGCATGACCCTTGTGCGGAGTGTTAGGGCCTCGGAACGGGCACGGTGTCCGGTCACCCCAGTATCTCTTGCAGCCCACGGCACGCAGATCCATCCCATCCAAAAAAAGAGCCAAGCCAAGTTCCAAGCAAATCGTCGTTCGCCAGTAGGTCGATGGGGCATTCACTGGCCTCAAGGTGAAAACACAAGCTTTATGAAGAGAGGCATAAATTTTGCAGCAACATCATGCAGGATCCAAATCACCCAGTCGCGCGAGAAGACACGTCGCAATCGGAAGAGCAAACTTTGACACTTTGCCCAATAACGAAATGCTTCTGGATGCTCCCTCAGTTTCCGCTTCGAGCTCCCTGCGTGAAGACCAATGAGCCAGCAGGAGACGGCGGGTCTGACAGAGGCTCTGCGACTTTCAATCCAAACCCTCGCATGCAACTCTGAAGATCCTCGAAATCGCCACGATGGACGCATATGGTTCGAACACCGGGTGCAAGAAAAAAGGACACCTTCAAAATGATCAATCTGACTGCTCATGTCGCAGCTACTGCAGGTTGCTTGTGTTCTCCTTTTGCTGTTGTGTTTGCTACTTTGTCGGCAATGCGTCGGCTGCGTGCATCATGCCTTTGAATGTTGTGCTTGTTGGCACGAGGAACATGCAGTCAGCGGGCCTGATGGTAGTTGCAGCGCAGGCGCTGCTTGCGCGTAAACAGCGCGCCTTGGTGTACAGGGAATGAGCAGGCTGAGAAAGTGCTGAGCATTGCCGAAGCTCTGAGCCCTGCAAATACCCAGTCTTCTTGATCACTATGCTCTTCTTTTGAACGACTTGTTCCGTCACACCAAGAAAGTATGACAATAGAGTCGCTTCCGTTCAAAACAACAATCAGCGTACTCTTCTTCTGCTTGTGCTCCAAATCCTGTACGGGATGCGACATGGATTTCTGGGGTCAAGGCGGCTGCCTGATGGCTTCCATATCGATGGAGCATACGCCTGGACGCAGGGAACATAAATGAAACCTTCCTGCCATATTCACTGCCTGCCATGGCGCCAAAGGATCACAGACACAAAAAACGCTGAGCCACCAAGTGCGTGAGCATAGCGATCTCAACCCAATCAGCCACTCACCCCGCTGACCGACTTAGTCAAATCAAGGACCATGGTGCTGTCACCTATCTGCTTCATCTGCCTCTCTTCTCCATCTGAATCTACTTCTTGCTTGCCTAGAGATAGAAATGAACGAGGCGAGAAAAAGATGACACGTTCCTTTCAGTCTTGTTTCCCCCCTTCGCCATGGCATGGAGAGAGAAAAACAAAGAAGTGAGTGAAGGGTTGGCTGTGCCTATGCTGTCAACATGTCACCCGCCTGGCCGCCCGCACGTCACTCGTTTGCTTTTTTAAGACCACGCGGCGCCCTTGAGGGGTCCGGCGAGCCCGGGAACGGCGTCGGTTTCCCGCGGGGGAGGACTTCAGGCCGCAAAAGGCGCGGTGCGATGACGCACTCCCTCAGTGCGGCTCAAGCAGCGCCCAAAACCCTCACCTACATTCCATGATTCAAGGACGAGGCTTGCAAATGAGATATCTTGCTCAACTGCCTGAGAAGGGTTTCAGGCACTGTCCTATTGGATTGCATCGCTGTGGCGTCGCGAACTTAGCATTCTTTGGAGTGCTTTTCCACACCCAAACTAACTGCGCGAGGACTCCTCGCCAACATTTGAGCTGTTGAGAGTTCCCAAATGTCCCCCAAAAACTGCCCATGGTTCTTTTGAGTGGACTGCTTCCCCAGTGACAGTTTCCCTGGCCCTTCCGTTTAGAAATGATGGACCACAAGGCCTCCGCAAGCACAGGCTGCGGGCCGGGGCGCGTGCCCGGCCCAGCCAACGTTTAAACGACGGGCAAAGTGCCCAAGACCCGCATCGAACCTACATCTTTCTGGCAAGTTTTCCCACCCCGGTCAATTGAACCCCTGCTGTCTCATCCTGCAGCGTTGTATCCACAGCATTGGCATTTGAAACTATTGCCGGCCCTAGCAACCAAAAAGTAAACAGATCCTCAAAACTCAAACAACTCAGGCCAAGGCAAGCCCTCCGGTTGCACGCCGGGTCGGGAGAATCGGTGAAACTCACTTGTGCTCACGCCACCGCAACTGGCTCAGACTTGTGCTTGGACCAATCCATGTCCCACACGTCATCCTCGGAGGAATCCTCAGGCTCCCAACTCCCAGTGCCTGTCCTATCCAGACTTTGAACAACTCCCCACACACGCCTCAGCGGCATCTTTGCCGGCTGCCGGCCTTATCCGAGGACCTGCGACATAAGCCCAACCCACAAAAACACAGTTTGTGAGACTGACAAACAACTCCTTGTGTCCACAGCAACTTGCCTGGCTCCGACATCTTCGTCGTCATCGCCTTGCTAATCTGCTTGTCGAGCCTCTGCACAAGCCTGGCCGCAATGAAATGACGCACAGTCGTGTCCAAAATCCCAACACGGCGAAACGAAGTGGCCAAGACTCGCCCAGGGCACTTGGTGTTGCTCGCCCGCTGGGCTTGGTCCCGCCGCTGCTGGAGTCTGACGAGCCACGTCGGCGTGTCGCTCAGCTCGAACACCTCGCAGATGTTGTTTTTCCCAACAGGCAACTGGTTGCAAACTTTGCAGTCTTGAGCTAAGACAATTTCAAACAGAGTGACGTGGCTGGCAGTTGACTCTCCCCACCTCCACAGGTCTCGGGCCCTCCGACTCTTGCAGCTTCTTCGCAACTTGGCCCCGCTCCTGCCAAAGGTGACAGCTTGATGTTTGCTTAATGCCTTCACATGTTTTTACCAACTGCGTTCAGCTTCGCACACGCGTCTGGGTACGCCAAAACACTGACCCCCCGAAACACTTTCCTTTCAGGATCCAAAAGTAGCAGCGATCATGCGATCCCACAACGAGGCCTCAGGGTTGGTCCAATCTGCGGTCCAAATCGGATCCACTTCATCCTCGGGGCACGCCCGTGCGATAAAAATTAAACGCGAGACAGGCCGTCTGCTCCAAACGCCCCACATTGGAAGCACAAGTTGCCATCGGCCGTCAGAGAAGCTCTTTGCGCAAAAAGAAGAAAAGCAGCTGGGTATCATGCAAAACACGGAAATGCACGAGGTATCTGAGGCTGCTGCTACACTACCTGTTCTTTCCTCCTGAGCAAACGATTGAGCATTGCTCACATAGGTGAGTTGTTCAGTCGCGCTAGAAATAGACAAGCCTTTTCTGAGGCAACCGCTTTGCTACCTTTGATCTTTGTGCTTTCCGCTGCTGCATCCTGTCAAGCAACAAGGCGAGTCGCTCAAGTCAGAACAATATGTCTTGCCAAGGGTCAATAATTTGAAAATTGCTGGTTTGGATTGGCGGCTTCGGCAGGTGCGACTCCAGCTCCCCTTCAAATTTAATGGGAAGCCCACAAACCACCAGTCCAAACCACCTGCCCAGTCTCCGCGGCCTCGGAGCTGGCACGGGTGCCCCATGTCATCAACCCGGCTGCTAGCAGCACTGGCACCTCATGGCAGAAATGGCACCTGTGGGGAGAAGAGTTGTCAGTCGCACAAAAAAAGTCAGCCGGACTGTCCCGGACATCCAGCGAACACGAGGCCTGCAAACATGGATCAGCTCTTGGGGCCCGGGCCGCCAGGAGCAAATGGGAAGACACCCGCTGCGCCAGGGCCAGGTAGGCACCCAGGAAAAGCTGAAGCAGGTCGTTCGGAAGTCCGAAACGAGCAAATCTGGACAATCCCGCGCCCTATCCGATTGAGATGGATGTGTTTTTGAGGGCTACGCTCTAAGTTCCCGATGTGGCCACACACGCGTAACACTTAAAGGAAGAGCAGGCACCAGGCAGCGGTGGGGCTACTGAGCAATTGAATATTTGGTTGGAGTGGGCATGGCAGCGAACAAGTTGGCTATTTGCTGGCTATCGGTGTGACTATCGGTTCGCGCTCGCAAATCTCTCCTCCGGAACCTTCATTTGCAACTCGCAAATGTGTGGACTGAAAAATGCTCAAATTTAGGGCTCTGAAAATGACTGAAATGTACTGTAAATACCAGCAAACGCTGTTGGACGTGTTTTTTGGCTAATACATATGTATATATATATATATATATATATGTATACGTATATATACGCACATGTATACATACAGGCACACGTAGACACAACTAACTACCCTCTGTACTGATATACTAGTGTATAGATCTAGATGTGTATATATATATATACATATAGATGTGTATATATATATATATATGTCTACATATGTTACATATGTCTTTATCTAAAATATTTAGAGAGAAAGAGAGAGTGAGATAATGCGTATAGCCAGATTGTGTCTGCTGATTGATTCATTGCTAGTGGTGTGCTTACTGAATGCAAGCAGGATTTGGGCAAGGCATTACAGGCCGCTGCATCCTGGGACTCTTTAGGGCTCGACATCACCCCCGGCTTTCGAGTTGAAAGAAATCGGTGAAAATACTGCCATGCCAAAGAAAGCAAGCGAGCAGGACAATTGATCCAAGGTGCCATCAGCAGGACCCCGGCATTGCCCAAGAAACCATCGCCGATGGCACCTGCACGAGAAACGAAATTGAGCTTCCTGTGCGACATCACACGTCATGGCAAACACATGTGTTTGTACCTTAAGTCTGATCCAGATTCAAGTTCCTATTGTCGACGCACAAAGGTTTAATTCAAAACAACTTCTTTGCCTGCATCTCGCGATCTTTGAGGAGCATCGCGAGCTTTTTCCTGACAAGCTGCCAAGCGTCCCACTCAAACAGCTGTGATTGCCCAGCGCCGGCGCCTGTTGCATGGATCCTAAGGACATGAGTCCCACTCAGCCACTGAGCCAGTGGCAAACACACTTCGGGCACAGTGGAACAAGGCAAGTCAAGATTTTGATATGTTTTTCTTTAGCATGTGTCTCCACGGAAGTCACTTGACTTTAATAACAGCTTCAGTCATCAGAGCATAGCCGAACCTAGCTTCCTGACGCAGCGGTATCAGAATTCAGGTTGTACGTGCAATCAGACCTTGACCCATACCTTCCATAGCGTCTGACCACTCGTCTGCCGGAAAAATAAATGTTCCGTGCTGTTGCAACCATTACCCGGAAACGCAGGCTTTGCGCCCACTTGATAGTGCCAAAATCACGAGTACGTTTTTGCGGTAAGTGCCCTTATGTACCGCCCCACCTCCCTTGCGAGCGTCTTCACTTGTCATAAATATCCAGTACGCTGGCCTGCCTTGGCAGTACAATAAGCACTGTACATTAGTACATGTCACACAAACACGAAATCGTCCCAAATGCTGTCTTGAAGCATATTCATGATGACCTGATGCCCCTGCTTGTGGAGACTAGACCGAGTCAGGAAACCAGTGACCGTGTCAGGAAACATGAGTCGAGAAATGGACAGGGGCGAGTCAAGAAACAACTAGAGGCAAGTCAAGAAGCGAAAGTGAAAAAGACTAAGATCACAACGGGAAAGCTAAGTCAGGAAACGCGGACGTGTGAGCCAGGAAACGCGATTCAGGAATGATGTGGCCAGCGCTTTTGAATTTGCGGTGATGCTGGGGATGCAAGTTTTGCACTGTGTGCTTTGCTCTCTGCCGTGTGTTTCGCGCATTGTTCCTTGATATCCATCATGGCTCGGATCAAGGAACAACCTCGCGTGCAAAGCTGTTCGACTCAGGAGAGAGGGGGGACATGTGGCTGCAATCAAACGGTGGCCGTAATCCAACTGGGGATGCAGAAGTCACTGCGTGCTCACTTTGCAGTTTGCTTTGTGCACTGTACCTTGGTATCGTCTTGGCCCATTTAGGTTTAGGGTTTCTAGGGTTTAGGTTCAGGGTTTTTAGGCTTCCGGATCAGCTTCTTGTAGTTTAAGTTTAGGTTTCTGAGGGTTAGGTTTAGGTTTTCATCAAGCTCAGCTTTGGGCTTTCAGCGTCTATAAGGAAGCGGGGGATTGGGGGGCGCAGCCCCCATAAAGACCGTAATGAACAAAGTGCGCGGTTGCAAACAGGGATCACGAAGCTGAACAACGGCCCGACGAAGAATCACGAAGCCGAACAACGGCCCTATAACGAAGCGGGGAAGCCAAACTTTTGAGATCGCTCCGAAACGCTGTTCCTGTCGTTTCCTGGGCCGTTTCCTAACTTCACAATCGTCACGCAACCTTATTGACTTGACTCCAACTCTTCGCAACGCCCCGTCCCATTGTTCCTGCCGTTTCCACGTCGTTTCCTGGCTCACCAATGTTTCCTGACTCACAAACCTCATTTGTTGTTTTCCCCGTGCCGCCTTCAGCAACAAGGCCATCACTCAGAGGGTTAGGCAAAAGAAGGGGTGAAACACTAGGCCCTACGCCTGCAGGTCCCACAGAGGGACCGCACACCAGGCCTCCTTTCTCACAAGCTACGAAAAGTTGAAGCTAGAATTGAAATCACAGATCCCAACAGTCACTCGCTCAATCATCCAAAAGCAGCCTTGCCAAGGTTATCAGCTCAAGGAAAGTGAAGCACCCAACGATAACAGTACAAAGAGTGAAAACGAGGCCTCACCTTAGGGAATAGAATGCCGAGGCAAACCATCAAGCCGGTGGCTGCTCAGGAAAAGCCCGTCGTCCTCCAATAAAACGAAGGAAGAAACGGCTGTCCCCGTAGAATCCTGTTCACTGCTTTAAGCCGTTCAATAGGGAGATTTGTTTTTTGCCCCAATGCAGCGTTCCGTGTCAGGCACGCGTCTGCTCCAAGCAATGCGGTGGAAAGAAAATGAAAGAAACGGGCATTAGGTAAGACAGAAAGGATGCCGTCGTGCAAGCCCCAAACGAAACAAACAGACAAAACAAAAGTTGAGTGGCAGTTCTGCTGCATCACGCCAAGTCGCTTTCCCAGACAAGGCAAGTTGAACCGCTTTGATCCGTTCCGCCGACTCCGTTTCTTCAAGCTGCAGGATGGCCTCGTAACCAAACGAAGTCAAGTCCCGTTAGAATCTTGATCACTGCTTCAATCCGAAAGGGAACATGCAGTCCAAGATGAAAGGGTGCGACCGACAAACATGCGCGCACGCTCTTTTTCTTCATAAGGCGTTGTTTCCCCGTTAAGGCATGTTGCACTGCTCCTAGCTTGAACCCAAACATGAACCCCCAAAAGAACAAAGCAAGTCCGAAGCGGCCGCAGTTCTTTTTACCGGGATTGCTGAAAGTAGCACTGCTTCCAGGGCACTGGTGCGTGGAACAGGAGGTGCGTTGACCCCCCGTGAAACTGAAACGGGCAAGACAATGCGTGTCCTTGCAAATGAATGCAGCGCTTGCAGGGCGTGGCATGCGTGCCCGCGCCCAAAGTCCGGAGACTGAATGGTCCGGAGACCAGAGTTGTCCGGAGACCTGGTCCGGAGACCAAGAGGTCCGGAGACCACCAACGAAAGTGCAGAGCGTCTGCGACCTATACTTGCAGAGCCTTGTATGAGGCAGTGCAGGGTGGGTGGGTGGGTTTCAAATGAAACCGAAGGTTTGGGTCAAGGGGATGCGTGTGCCGAAGACGACTTGGTAGGGATAGGGGGCTGGGCAATCACATCCTCCCAAGTGGTTTGGTTTGCCGAAACCTGGAACATGCGGGACATACGGACCGTATGGCCTTGCCTTGTCAAGCCTGGACAGCGGTACATCGCATGTTTCGAGACGCTGCACAGTTAGCACCACCGGAAGCAAGCCTTAACAAGTTGTTCACGACCTCCTGGCCGTTGCAACTTTTCGTGCAGTTAACAGCCTTCTGGGCTCACGCTCACAATGTGCTGCTGCAGCCGACGCACGTTCCAGGAAGGTGTAATGATTGGGCAGACGATCTCAGCAGAGGTCGGTTGGCCCGATTCAGCCATCGCCCTGAAAGTCGCATACGCTTCTGCCTTCAGCACTGCTTAGCCAGCCTTATTTGCATCCCAACATGCATTGCGACCAAATGGCCGTCTTCGCCCTGTCAGCCAGAACAACTGGCTGCGTCAGCCAGCCGCTTACATCAAGCCGCTCTGACCGAAAAAAGTGCAGACCCTGAGCAACAGGCTGCTCACAGCCGCAAGCGTGCATTGTCACGCGGACATTTGCCCTGCCAGGTACAACCCGGCTCGCTTATACCGGGGTTGCCTGAAACACTGAAGGGGGGGTTAACGCACCTTCTGTTCCAGGCGCACCAGTGCCCTGGAAGCAGTGCTACTTTCAGCAATCCCGGTAAAAAGAACTGCGGCCGCTTCGGACTTGCTTTGTTCTTTTGGGGGTTCATGTTTGGGTTCAAGCTGGGAGCAGTGCAACATGTCTTAACGCTTAGGGTTTCTTTTCCCTGGTGTTTAGGGCTTGTTGTGAATCGAACTACGCGGTGCGCGGGGCAGTGCATGGCGCGACCTGAAATTTCCCAGATTTTGGAGCCCACTGTAATCCACAAGCCGGGAAGGCTATGGCTGGTTTTGAGCATCCTTGTTCAAGGATGCTCTGAAGGCTGACCACATTTGAGGCGGTATCGAGTGCATCGAGCCTGGGCTGTTGAGGTCCGAGTATAGTGGCGCTAGCCAGGATCTCAGATGCAGTGCAATGCTGGTGGCCCAAATGAGCAGGCCTATGCACTGCTCGAGTGTTTTGCGGAGTACCCGTCGGCTCCCCAGCAGTGCTTTGCGTCCAGCTTGGTCAGCTTAGCGGACACGAGCTGAATGGTGTCGTGGGAGAGTTGATCTCCCAGCCGCACCAAACAAGGCTGTCCTGGAATTGCGCCTTTTTCCATGAAATTGGCGCCGCAATGGCGCAAAAGAAAAGCACCACCAAGGCAAACATATCTGGCGCGCTATCTCGGAAGAGTGCCCACAGAAGGTCCACAAAAAGGAAGGCTTTGTGGGGCTTCCAAGCCAGCAACCCATGCACCTGGCAAAGCAAAAAAGCGCCAGCGCGCTGCCACCAGAATGCCGAGAAACGGCCCCCAAAATGGCACACTCTATAGTGATAGAGTTTTCCTTGAAAAGGCTATGCTCTTCAGGGCGGACCTGCACCTGTTTGTGTGCGGCTTTGAAGTCAATGCTGGCGCCCACGAAGGCGCCTGGAGTGTCCTCCGGCTGCGTGGACAGCGCCAGGTCCGATGCCATTGGCAGGCTCAGGCGCTCTGGTAGATGGCATCTGGTATTCACTTGGCACACGGTGCTGTCCAGGACAAGGTGCGGCTCTTTCCCTTCTGCAAAAACGACATTTAATTTGCCTACGGCAATGCCTAAGGGCCATTTTTCCCGAGCCTCGGCGATGCTAAGGCCGGTTTCTACAATCCAGTTGTTGGAATTTCATTGCGCAGCAAGCTTTGCGCGGTTTCTGGTTTGTCCTTGGCCATCTTCCAGTTGCCCTTACAGATTTCCAGATCCGGCGGCAGGGCGGAGTCTGGCTTCTTTGCCGGCCATTGAAGGCTGGGTGGCAAGGCTGACACGGCTCCTGTCGGTACCCCGTGTTGCAGAAATGGCAGCAGGGCCATGTCTGGGTCACCCCAAGAGTTGGCCAAGGCCTGCAGCAGGTGGAGTCGGGCTGCGTCTCAAACAGGCCTTGTGACAGGCATCAGACTGACTTGTTACGCTTGCAAGGCATCAGATGAGCTTGTGAAGCATCAGACTGGCTTGTTGAAGCATCAGACTGGCTTGCGCAAGCATCAGACTGGCTTGTTCAAGCATTGGACTGGCTTGTGCCTTGCAAGCGCAAGGCAAGTAAAAAAGCGGTTGCCTTGAGTCACATTCCTGTGAGTTTCCGGCACCGCGCCGCACCCTCAAGCTCCTGCTACTTTGCAGCGGCTGCGCGTCTCTTGGCTTCCCCGCGCTCTAGCGCGCAGACTCAGCGCGCTAGCGCGCGGGTA